ACCTCCTCAAGCAAACCCCACCTACCCTCGACTTTCCCCCATCAAACTTCTCCTTCCCCCACCTTAAACTCTCCCCCCTTGAGCCACCCCTCCCTCCCTTAGACACCCCTCCCCCCCTTAGACACCCTCCCCTTAAGCACCCTCCCCCCTTAGACACCCTAAACTAGCGCACTTCCTATTCATTGCCTATTGAGTACATTATGCATATTTGAGGAGAGGGTCTGGTAACAAGCCAAGCGGGTGCCTTCCTCCTTGGATCACACGGGGAGCGTACTGTACCTAGAGTTGCAGATACATTTCCTTCTTTCCTTCCTTCCTTCATTTCTTTCTCTTTCCTTCGTTCATTTTCTTTATTTCATTCTCCCTTCCCTGTATTCATTTCATCTATCCTCCCTCCTTCCTTCCTTGTCTTCGTTTTATTTCCTTCTTCTTTCTCTTTCCTTCCTTCCTTACTTCCTTAGGGGCGTCTTGAGGGAATGGTGGTCGTGGAGGAGGATTTCTGAGGGTCATTTGAAGGATGAGTTCTAGGAGATGGTGTTAGGATGGATGGGGTGGGGGGGAGGAGTTGAGATTTTGAGTGTCCTGTGGGATGGTTCTGTGGGATGGTTCTGTGGGGTGGTTCTGTGGGATGGTTCTGTGGGATGGTTCTGTGGGATGGTCATTAAGAGGTTTATAGGGAATTGTTCTGTTATAGGTTGTCGATATTATTATTATTATTATTATTATTATTATTATTATTATTATTATTATTATTATTATTATTATTATTATTATTATTATTATTTTATACGGATTTTTTTTTGCGTTTGGGTCTCTTGATTGTTTCTGAGGAGACTTCGAGGGTAGGTTAGGTTAGTTCAAGTTTCTATACTCTCTCTCTCTCTCTCTCTCTCTCTCTCTCTCTCTCTCTCTCTCTCTCTCTCTCTCTCTCTCTCCTCTCTCTCTCCCTCTCTCTCTCTCTCTCTCTCTCTCTCTCTCTCTCCTGGGATGTCATAGAGAGACGAAATTGGGACAGTTCTGGGAAAGAATCTGCCAGGAGGGTGTAAGGAGAAGTGGCAGAGTCCTTGTGTTGTGTCAGGGGTGAGAGTGATGGGTCGGGTCGGGTCGGGTTAGGTGACATCACAGAAGGTAGGGAGAGAAGGGAGGTAAGTCTCATTTCACGTGGAGACATTAGGAAGAGTTAAAGCGCCTTCATCAATTAAAGCTTCTGAAGTGGCCATTCCACATGCACTTTGGGTGTTTACGATGTTCGTTCCATTTGCAGTTTAGAACAGAAGCGCGAGGTTTAATTTCACATTCAGTCGAGTATTTTGTCAAGGTTATTTGGCGTTCACTTAGGTTTGGTTCGGTTTGCTTCAACATAAACTCTATTATTCTTTTAAGGTTGACGTACCGGGAGCTAATATCAGGAGAGCTTTAAAGGTGCGCTTGTTAGAGTGATGATACGTGCAGGTAAGACCCAGGTGTTTTATAATGATTACCTCACCTTTACCTACACACCTGGGTCGGGAGGGATTCTGCTCAATGGAATATTTTGTCTTGGTGCACTAAAGAGACGACGGAATGTAGGTGATGATTGACTCTCTGATGCTGCCTGGGTTAACTACCGTGTAATACAGTGAAGAGAGAAGAAAACAAATGAAACTCGACTAGATTACGTACAGCCTCGTCAACACTAACGTCCACAGGAATAACATGTTTTGTATCACAGCTTGGGTCTTCTCTCAACGCTTCCTTCCTTCCTTCCTTCCTTCCTACTTGCCTTTCTCCCTCCCTCCTTCATAGGTACAAGTGGTGAGGTACTGCCACCTGCAACACCTTCCTCTCGCTCCCCCACCCTGTAATTGGGACTTTTTCTCTCGAGGTAATTTGTAACTTCACCATTAAGATGTTATTGTCTCTCTCTCCTCACCTGGTGATTAGTCTCTCTCTACCTTTAAGGGTTATTATTATTGTTGTTGTTATTATTATTATTATTATTATTATTATTATTATTATTATTATTATTATTATTATTATTATTATTATTATTATTATTATTATTATTATTATTGATGTTGTTGGTATTAATGTTATTGTATTAGTTAGGTATGTGATATTAGTTATGGTGGCCTAATTAGTGTGTGTGTGTGTGTGTGTGTGTGTGTGTGTGTGTGTTAGTGTGGTAGTAATGTGTGTGTGTGTGTGTGTGTGTGTGTGTGTGTGTGTGTGTGTGTGTGTGTGTGTGTGTGCTGAACTCTTATATATATCCACTTGTTGTTGTAGGAACTGTTACTTGAAGCAGTCACAAGTAACACATCTCTTAATGTAAATACATATTGCCACGTAGAAAGTAACATGGTTTTAGGAGTTGTTGCTTGAACGGCACGCAAGTTATAGATGGAAAAAAGCGGGAGGCAATATTCGTCTTAATCTCTCTGGGGCAATATTTTGTCTTTTACTTTTCCCTGGGGGCAATATTTTTTCTTCAACTCACTCTGGGGGCAATATATTTTTTTTATTATTATTCTCTGGGGGCAATATTTTGTCTTCAACTCCTCTCTAGGGACAATATTTTTTCTTCAACTCCTCTCTAGGGACAATATTTTTTCCTTCAACTCCTCTCTAGGGACAATATTTTTTCCTTCAACTCCTCTCTAGGGACAATATTTTTAACTTCAACTCCTCTCTAGGAGCAATATTTTGTCTTCAACTCCTCTCTAGGGACAATATTTTTTCCTTCAACTCTTCTCTAGGGACAATATTTTTTCCTTCAGCTCCTCTCTAGGGACAATATTTTTTCCTCCAACTCCTCTCTAGGAGCAATATTTTGTCTTCAACTCTTCTCTAGGGACAATATTTTTTCCTTCAGCTCCTCTCTAGGGACAATATTTTTTCCTTCAGCTCCTCTCTAGGGACAATATTTTTCCTTAGCTCCTCTCTAGGGACAATATTTTTCCTTCAACTCCTCTCTGAGAGCAATATTTTATCTTCAACTCCTCTCTAGGGGACAATATTTTTCCTTCAACTCTTCTCTAGGACAATATCCTTTTCCTTCAGCTCCTCTCTAGGGACAATATTTTTTCCTCCAACTCCTCTCTAGGAGCAATATTTTGTCTTCAACTCTTCTCTAGGGACAATATTTTTTCCTTCAGCTCCTCTCTAGGGACAATATTTTTTCCTTCAGCTCCTCTCTAGGGACAATATTTTTTCCTTCAGCTCCTCTCTAGGGACAATATTTTTTCCTTCAACTCCTCTCTAGGGGCAATATTTTGTCTTCAACTCGCTCTAGGGGCAATATTTTGTCTTCAACTCCTCTCTAGGGACAATATTTTGTCTTCAACTCGCTCTGGGGGTAATATTGGGTGTCCTCCTATCCTGCTGTAGTGATACTGGTCCGCGTCTTCACCTGATCCGGGCAAGATGCTGTATTTAGGCTGTCCTGGTCCCTCGATGCTGCTCTCCTATTACCATGATGCTGTTCAATCTCTCTCTCTCTCTCTCTCTCTCTCTCTCTCTCTCTCTCTCTCTCTCTCTCTCTCTCTCTCTCTCTCTCTCTCTCTCTCTCTCTCTCTCTCTCTCTCTCTCTGCTCATATTACCTATCCTTTCATGTGGTGGATTTTTTCGTCTTTTCTGGTTTATTGATTCTGAGTGTTCCTCGCCTCCCTTGCTCCACACCCCCTTTCGTCTCTTCCTCCTTTTACTCCTTCCCCTGTGTCTCTTTTCTCGTCGTATTTCCCGTTCTTCGCTGTTGTCTCTTCCCTATTTATTCTTCATCCTCTCTATCTCCACGATATTTTTTTCCTCATTTCAATCATAAATTTTTTCTTTGTCTTTTCTACCACATTTTGCTTGCTTGCTTGTTCTCTTCTTCTTTATCACCTTATACCTCCTCCTCCTTCTCACCCATCTTGTCCCTGCCCACACGGTTGGTCTTTCACCTTCCTTTCACTGCCGCCTACCTAAAGCCTTCCTTGTTCCTTCTTCCCTTCCTATTTATCCGTCTGGTCTGCTTCCTTCTTCCTCTCCCCATCCTCCTCCTCCTACATCCCACCTTATTCACCCACCCAGCAGCGTCTTAACACCCTCTCCTTCTCCTCCTAATCCTCCCTCTTTCTTAACTCCCCCCCCCCATTCTTCTTTACTTTTTCGCCTCCCTCCTCTCCCTCCGAGTTTCATAATCTCTCTCCCCTTTCTTCTCCCCGTCTCACCCAGGTTCTTAACACCCTCTCCCCATCCCACCCAGTTTCTTAACACCCTCTCCCCATCCCACCCAGTTTCTTAATCCCCCTCCCTCTCCCTCCCCACTTTGGTCCACCCACACCCCGCTGGAAAAAAGTTGTGTGTGGGTTCTGGGCGGCAGTATTGATCCAGAGTTCCAGCGGTTCCTCCTTCTGCAGGTGTTCCTCACGCCTCCTCCTTACCCCCTACCCCCTTCTACCTCCCCATCTCCTCCTACCCCCTCATCTTCATCTTCTCTTACCCCCCACCCTCACCCTCTCCCCAGGTACTTCACCCACGGGAGCAGTTGAGCCGCTTGAGGGAGGGATGCGAGGCTTGTCAGTTTAGGTCGCGCCCGGAGGTCACAAGTATAGCACCAGGTCATGACAGCATCCTCGCTCTGTAGGGGAGGCAGAGAAGAAGTACCTGGCTGATAAAAATAGGTCAGAGAGAGAGAGAGAGAGATGGGGGAAATATGAGAGGATGGTAGATGAGGTATGTACTAAGCAATAGGTAAGGGGGGTGGGGTGGAGGGGGGGGGGCAGGGATTAAGAGGGAGAGTTAAGTAAGACACAGACAGGATAAACATGTTCTCACACAAGGAGCTTTACGTCGTATTCTTGGCAGCTTCCTCCTACGCCTGTTACCCTCCGCCAGAAGCTACCGGGAACCTCTTGATCATCCCCAACACCCCACACGTCACGTCCTTAATTACACGTACTGTGGTAAATAGCGTAAGAACTGACCGCGGGAAGAGTTGCTGACAAAGATTTCCCCAGAGGAGGTGACACCCAGATAGATGTTTGGCTCCAGAGACATTTTAAGTCTCCCAGAAGGTGTCCCAGGTGGCCCCCAGACAAGAATTCCTCCAGAGGAAGTCGACCCCAAAGAAGGTGAACAGAGTAAGGTAACCCCAGAAGTAGTGAAGCCTCCAAAGAAGGTTGATCTACAGAGAACGGATACCCCCGGAGAAAGTGTGCACCTAGAGATGATGACCCCAAACAAGTATTACTGCAGACCAAAGTTTTCCCGGAGAGTGTGTCCCAAAGAACTGACCCCAGAGAAAGTATGACCAGGAATTGGCAGGTCCGTTACCCTGGCGGCACCTCCGTCCACCACACACACACACACACACACACTGAGGTCTGTAACAGTTTCCCCGAGTAAGACGCCACGGTTCTGTTATCAACTTTGTAACTTTCCTAAGACACGATAAGTTGAAACTGCTCTACACTTGTATGGAATACTGTATTATGAGGTTCGTACTACAGCAAATGTATAAATAACGTTTATTTTAATGAATGGAACAGAATATCCATCTCGCCTGTACACGTGTCTAGGTATAATCACCAGTACTTTCACGTGGAGACATTTGTAATACTTGTCAGTTATTTTTTTAACACGGAGTCTATTGGTGAAAATTAGGTGACCTGGCGTCACCTGTGGTGTGTGTGTGTGTGTGTGTGTGTGTGTGTGTGTGTGTGTGTGTGTGTGTGTGTGTGTGTGTGTGTGTGTGTGTGTGTGTGTGTGTGTGTGTGTGTGTGTGTGTGTGTAGAGCTTACTGTGTGCTGCCTCCTCACCTCATTGTCTATGTGTCTTCACCCTTTCTCACTGCTGTTGTTAGGAATATTTTTTTCTCAGCCTGTTCACACCTGAGTTATCTAGTACCATCACCACCACTACCTCACCACCATCACCACCACTACCTCACCACCATCACCACCACTACCTCACCACCATCACCACCACTACCTCACCACCACCATCACCACCACTACCTCACCACCACTTGTGTCCTCTCCGTCTTCCACTATAGTCTGTCTCTCTCGCTTCTACGGTATATCTTGCTCTCTGTTTCGTACGGTTCCATTTATGTCTTGGTCGCGTGTTGGTGGTGTGAGTGGGAGAGATGAGTGGTTCGGGGAGATGCTGGGCCGCGATAGGAAGACGATGATGTTTTTATCTTATTGGGTCTGTCTTGGTATCTTATCTTAGGGATATTTAGGAGCTGTGTCGTGTTTCTCTTCTCCTCCTCCTTGTTATTTCTTTTCCTTCTTCCTCTTTCTTTTCCTTCTTCCTTGATTGCTAGGTAGATATATGAGTGTTCACACGCGAGAGTTAGCCACAGCAACCACAAATAGAGGGGGAGGGGAGCGGTGAGCCAGCTGTCAACCTACACCAACTTCAAGATTACCAGCTGGGTCTCCCGTCTTAAGCCATCAGCTTTGTAATTACCAACTGGGGCTCTACGTCACACCACCACCACCAGCCTTATAATTACCAGCTGCAAATTGTGCCTCATACCACCACCACCTGTCTTACTTTCCAGCTGGACGACTACCCGCCTCCCTCACTGTACCACCAGCACCACATGCCCTCAGTCTCCTCCCTCACTGTATTAACACCACCACCTGCCCTCCCTTCCCCCTTTACTGTACCACCACCACGACCTGCCCTCCCTCCCCCCTTTACTGTACCACTACCACGACCTGCCCTCCCTTCCCCTCCCCCCTTACTGTACCACCATGACCTCCCTCCCTCCCCCCCTTTACTGTACCACCTGTCTCCCTCCCTCCCCCTCCCTTCTGTACCACTACCACGACCTGCCTCCTTCCCTCCCCTTACTGGCCACCACCAGCCTGCCTCCCTCCCCTTACTGTACCACCGCAGCCTGCCTCCTCCCCCCTCCCCTTGCTGTGCCACCACCTGTCCTCCTCACTGTACCACCACCTGCTGGGTCTTCCGCAACACAAGTTTCTTAATATTACACAACTAACTATCGGACGCCAGCTGACCCAGACAAGGAAGGGAACTGACCCCATTTTTTTAATAATGATGTGTCTGAGTCCAACCCAATCCAACCCAACTTAACTTACAATGAAACACTGTCAGCTAGTCGAGGGAAAAGTGGGAGAGTGCAGGAGAGGTGGGATAGTGGAAGGTTGAGGTGGAGGAGTGGAGGGAGAGAGTTGGAACACCTGAACACCCCCTCCTGGGAACCCTTGAATGCCCTTCCTCCTGGGAACACCCCCCTCCTCTGGGGTGTACCTGAACGCCCCTCTCCTGGAAACACCCTGGTCATCCCCTCCCCTTGCAGGAACACCTGGAACACCCCTCTGCCTCCTGGGAGCACCTGCACCCCCTCCTGGGGTACCCTGGACATCCCCCCCACCATCCAGGAGCACCTGAACACCCCTCTCCTTGGAGCACCTGAACCCCTCGCACCACACGGCAGGTCATCAGGTCCATTGTAAGAAGTTTACTTTACCGTGAACCGGAAAACAGACCCTTCAGCTCCCAGCCCCCCGCCTCTAACCTCCAGCTATGTGTGAGGGTCCGTGAGATGTGAGGGGCCGTGAGAGATGAGGTTATGAGGTGTGGTGGCGGGGTGTGGGGGAGGTGAGGTTACGGATATTGGAAGAACAAATACTGTCAATGTATACAGCCTTAACAACATCAACCTAGAGAAGTCGACTTGTGAAAGAGACCTGGGGGTACTTGTAAGCCCGGACCTCCGGCCTAGAAAACAGTGCGTTAATGTTCGAAATAAGGCAAACAGAGTATTGGGTTTTATATTAAGAAGTGTAAGTAATAAGAGTGCAACTATATCTTGCACTAGTCAGGCCGCACCTAGATTATGCGGTTCAGTTTTGGTGCCCTTATTATAGAATGGATATCAATTCACTAGAGTCGGTGCAGCGAAGGATGACGAAAATGATTCCGGGACTTAGAAACCTTCCATATCAAGATAGATTTAAGAAACTAAACTTGCATTCCCTAGAAAGACGAAGAGTGCGGGGAGATATGATAGAAGTATTTAAGTGGGTGAAAGGAATCAATAAAGGAGATATAGATAAAGTTCTTATAATATCCGAGCAGGATAGGACTCGTAGCAACGGATTTAAGTTGGATAAGTTTTGGTGGGAGATAGGAAGGAACTGTGGTTCGCAAATAGGGTGGTAGACGAGTGGAACAAGCTTAGCAACTTTTTAGTAAGTGCTGGAACGATGGAAAGTTTTAAAAGGAAGCTAGATAGATTCATGGATGATAGAGAGTGGTAGTGACTCTCGACAGGAGCTGCCATGCACAAGCCAACCGGCCTATTGCAGACTCCTTATTTTATTTTAGGTTCTTATGAATTATGAGGTAATGTAATTTGGAAGGGAGGGCTGTGGGAAGATGATGAAAAGGTTACGGCGAAGGAGTGAGAGAGAGAGACGAAGGATAATGAGAGAAACAAAGGAATGATGGGAGTGACCTGAGTGAAGGCAGGAGGAAGAGCAGGGGAATGAGGGAGGTGAGTGATGGGAAATAAGTGAAGGGAGATGGAAATAGATTGAAATAAGAGGGTGATTAGAGTGAAGGGACGAAGAGGATGAGGAGGATAGAGAGAAGTGTGAAGGGAGGAAGAAGACCAAATTAGAGGGGACTAAAGAGAGGGGAGGTTAACATTTTTGTCGTCCCCGTTTCTTCTCGTTCGTCTTCTTTTCGTCCTTCTCTCCTCGAAAATTTGGTCACGCTCAAATTTTTTGTTTGTGTGTTTACTTTGTCGGGAGAAATATGTTCATTATTATTTATGTAAATTTACAATGTGGCGAAGATGGAGGATGGTCACGCACGCACCAAGTTAAAAATAATTGTAAAAAAATAGCAAAAGTTGTATGTCTCTTTAATTCTCGCGTCATCAGTCATTGTCTGTTATTATCATTACTCAACGTCATTCATCGTTATCATTAATCAGATCCATCATTATCCATCATCATCATCATCATTTATTAGTCATAAAAACAGAAAAGTATTGTGTGATCTATGTAGAAGTTGAGAATGATTAAAACTAACTCAAAGTTGTCAAAAGTTTAATAAAAATGTCAAAACTATTAGTCGAGGTTCCCAGATTAAAGTCAAATCAATAAAAAATCACAATTGTCACAACTCAGAAATTAAAAGAAAAAAGATCAAAATAATTTTAAAAGAAAACTTGGTCAATACTCAAAAACTAGACCAAAATGTTAGAGAACTAGATCAACACATTCAAAACTAGGTCAGCATTGTTAAAACTAGGTCAGTAATGTTAAAACTAGGTCAGTAATGTTAAAACTAGGTCAGTAATGTTAAAACTAGGTCAGTAATGTTAAAACTAGGTCAGTAATGTTAAAACTAGGTCAGTAATGTTAAAACTAGGTCAGTAATGTTAAAACTAGGTCAGTAATGTTAAAACTAGGTCAGCATTGTTAAAACTAGGTCAGTAATGTTAAAACTAGGTCAGTAATGTTAAAACTAGGTCAGTTAAAACTAGGTCAGTAATGTTAAAACTAGGTCAGCATTGTTAAAACTAGGTCAGTAATGTTAAAACTAGGTCAGCATTGTTAAAACTAGGTCAGTAATGTTAAAACTAGGTCAGCATTGTTAAAACTAGGTCAGTAATGTTAAAACTAGGTCAGCATTGTTAAAACTAGGTCAGTAATGTTAAAACTAGGTCAGTAATGTTAAAACTAGGTCAGTAATGTTAAAACTAGGTCAGCATTGTTAAAACTAGGTCAGTAATGTTAAAACTAGGTCAGCATTGTTAAAACTAGGTCAGTAATGTTAAAACTAGGTCAGCATTGTTAAAACTAGGTCAGTAATGTTAACATTAGGTTAGTGTTAAAACTAGGTCAGCACTGTTAAAACTAGGTCAGCACTGTTAAAACTAGGTCAGCAATGTTAAAACTAGGTCAGTAATGTTAAAATTAGGTTAGTGTTAAAACTAGGTCAGCACTGTTAAAACTAGGTCAGCAATGTTAAAACTAGGTCAGTAATGTTAAAGTTAGGGCAGTGTTAAAACTAGGTCAGCACTCAAACAATGTCATTGATGTTAAAACTATGTCAGCTGTTAAAACTAGGTCAGTAATGTTAAAATTAGGTCGTTGCTGTTAAAACTAGATCAGTAATGTTAAAATTAGGTCAATGTTAAAACTAGGTCAGCACTGTCAAACTATGTCAGTGATGTTATAACTAGGTCAGTATTGTTAAAACTAGGTCAACACTGTTAAAACTAGGTCAACACTGTTAAAACTAGGTCAACAC